ACTCCGGTTGAAGAAAAAATAGTGCTTGCATAAGAACATTCATCCCATCACTGACTGATTTATGATCAGACAACAGAATATGCAATCAGCATAATGATATGCACCTGTTTTTCATGGTAATTGGGGAGATCTTCCAAAACTTCATTACAAAAATTCTTCTTGTCCAACTGGAATGGTGGAGCCCTTCATAGGCACTCAATTCAAAAGAGAACCCATAGCACCAAATCAGGGTCATATCATCATATGTCGGTGAAACCAGCCCATCGTACCTATGCTTAGACTTGAGCTTGAAACACTATTTGTAGTATATTTACATCCTCTGGAGCACCACCACTGTAATCTTCACTCTCTGTGTCGTAGAGGTGCCCAGAAAAGATCCAGTAGACAGATTCAAATTTTTGGAGAGGGAAGTTGTAATTTCTCTACTGTTCCTCTGAAGCTGGTTCAAATCATGTGAGCTATCTTACGTTGCCAAAAGTTTGAGGAACTGGGTGAAGTAGAGCGTCATGACAATAATGTTCAAAATAAGTGTACTCAATTGCAATAGCTTTAGAGCATAATTCTCCACCATGAAAGCATTCATGACCTGCCAAAAGAATTTGTTGATTGTTACTGTTTAGAACCAGATATCCTTGAATACCTGTGCAAGTCACTGCATTAAGACTCAAGAGAACACACATTCAGGAAGTTAATTATCCATCAACTCTATTCTGCTACTTTACCCTTCCTGAAAATTGAGAGAAGGCACAGGAATCCTCATTTGCTCAGAAGTCAGAACTGTCCCCACTGCTGACCCACCATCACAACAAATTCAAGTAGTAAGTTCCCACATCAGCAAATCCAAGATCTCATAAATTTCCAATGACAAAGGATGCTTCCCTTTCCAAGAAAAGAAGGCATGATATTGTCCCCTTAATTGCAACCAGCTGCACCCACCATCTTTCTTAAGGCTAGCTCCTTGCATCAGTATCCTCGTCTCAGCAGCATCTTTCCATTTACCACACGATGCATACATGTTTGAGAGTAGCACATAGCCTGCTGTATTATCCTTCTCTAACTCATGAAGTTTCTTTGCTGCCCTCTCACCAATCTCCTTGTTCATGTAAGTGTTGCAAGCACTCAGAAGAGATGACCATGAACTTGTGTCTAATTTGCTTGGAACCTTCATGAGAAGCTCTTCTGCTTCTTGCAAACGGCCAGCTCTAGCTAGGACATCAACCATGCAAGTGTAGTGTTTATCTTTAGGTGGGATGCCATGTGCCTGCATTGTTTCATAATAATGTATGGCTTTCTCCACCAAACCACAGTGGGAACAAGCAAATAGAATAGCTAGAAATGTATGCTCGTTTGGTGCTATTCCATTTGCTATCATATCCTCAAACAACAAAATAGACTCTTCAGCAAATCCATTTTCTGCAAGTCCTTGAACCATGGCAGTCCAAGTGATATTGTTTTTTTCAGGCATTTGATAGAACATCCTCCTGGAGCTGTCCAAATCCCCTGACTTGGCATACATGTCACTGAGTGCAGTCCCCATAAAGATGTTATCTTCGATTCCAAGCTTGACAATCTCAGCATGAACCATCTTGCCCATCTCTAAAGAGCACAAGTTTGCACATGCAAGAAGAACACTTGACAAGGTGATTTCCCCTGGAATCTGTCCTGAAGCCAGCATTGCACAGAAATAATTTAGTGCATCACCAAATCGCCGATTTTCTGCATAACCAGAAATCATTGTATTCCATGAAGCTGCATTCCTTGCAGGCATCTTCTTGAAGAGCTCCTCTGCTTCCACCATTTTTCCATTCCGGCTATAACCTGAAATAAGAGAGTTCCAGCATACTGTGTTCTTTTCTGGGAGGGAATTAAAAATCCTTTGAGCATCCATGCATTGCTTGGATTTGCAGTACATGTCAATCAAAGAGCTGGATACAAATAAATTGGTACTAGAGCCCATCTTCAGTGCATTGGCATGTATCTTTGTTCCTCCCCTTAAGTCATGAAGGGTAGCACAAGCACTGAGCACACTAGAGAAGCATGAAATGTTTGGCCTGCAACCGTCAGCAAGCATCTGACTGTAAAGCTTCAATGCTTCTGCAGTATCACCTTTCTCTTCATGCCTTGCAATCAAAGTACCCCAGGACACCTCGTTCCTCTCAGGCATTGCATCAAGAACCCGTCGTGCTCCCTCAAGGTCACCCAATTCAGCATAGACATCAAGTAATGCGGTCCATGAGACGACATCCCTCACCTCCATGTCATCAAACACCTTGTGTGCTGCAGCTGCATCTCCCATTCTTAGATACAGAGTGATCAGAGAATTGTGTACCTCAATACTCTTTTCAAACAAGTTCCATTTGATTGCCAATCCCACCACACCCATGGCAAGATCAAATTCACTTGCACCAACACAGGCCTTGATCACACAAATCAGTGTAACCACATTAGGTCTCACACTGCAGTTTAGCATCTTGCGAAACACAGGGAATGCATCCTTATGGAGTTCGTTGCGGACAAACCCAGCAATCATGGCTGTGAAGAACGCAACCGAGTGGAGCGGGCATCGTTCATACAGCTCAACCGCATCCCTCACAGACCCACGCTTCATGAGCGCGTCGACCATGGTTGTGTACGACACGACACTCTTCTCGGGCATTCCGTCGAACAGCCTGCGGGCAGAGGCAATGTCCCCGGCCTTCACGCGCTCTGACACCATGAAGTCGTAGGTGAAAGAGGATGCCGCATTGGCAACAACACAGTCTCGGAAGACCTGGTCACGGTCCGCGGCGCGCGCCAAGGCGGCGTAGGCTGTGAGGAGGTTCGACGCGACGGAGCGGTCGGCGGCTAAGCCAGAGCGGAGGGTGTGCGCGTGCAGCGAGAGGACAAGCGGCAGGGAACCGGAGGAGGGCGCGTAAGCGGGCTTGGTGGTGGAGGCGGCGCTCGTGGCGCGGCAGAGGCGGAGGAGGGAGGCGCAGGTCTCGGAGTAGGACTTGAAGGCCTTCGCCGTCGGCGCCAGCGGTGGGCCGTTAGCCAGGCGGAGCTTGAACGCCTTTATCGGGAGGGTCAAGGGAGAGAGGTCTTTCTCCGGCTTACTCGTCGTCGGCGAAATCGGCGCCTTGGCCCGCTCCGGCCAGTGGCGGAGCTCGAACAAAAATTTAGGTCTTTTGAATGACATCGGAGACGCAACTTTTGAATGACATCGCAAGGGGCACATCATTAACTAATTTATGACAAATTTAAACATTGATGGTTGAGGTACCTCTCATCTATTAATTCAATAAAGACCAACCGAGCAAGAAGTGTTCATATTAAAGACCAAAATCTAACTTTCCAAAAGCTAAGAAACCAGAAAATTTGAAGAACAAATTAGTTAATGACTTAGTGTGTCATATACGAGAAGACATTTAGACATACTAAGATCTGCTCAGCCTGCTCCTCCCTCTACCTCCCCTATCATCTGCTCGTGCCCCCACCAAATCCTCCTCCTCCATCAGAGCGGCCTGCCTGCACCGTTATTCTGGCGAAGCGGTGCGGCTTGCCTGCGCAGCTTCGGGATGGCGGTCGGGTCCGAGGCCGCAATGAGTGTCGTGGCTTGGCCGCGTGGGCTTGGGGGCTGCACGTCTGGTGGGGCACTGAGGGCGCCTTGGAGAACTCCGACCTCTGTGGCCGTGAGACCATGAATAAACGAAGGTCAAGAGCGGTGAGTGCGAAAGCGACGAACTTGGCTCCGGCTGGAGTGGGAATTAGGGGTTCTTGGGGTTGGGGCACTTCCACTTGGGTCGGCTCCCCGGGCTTATTGGGCCCTAATTTTCTTCCCTCCCGTTTTCCTTGTTCTGGTTACGCTTTCTTGCGTTGACGTCCGGACGCCGCCGCTTCTTTTGGCCGAAAGGGAGGAAGACAAAGGGGTACTAGTGGTGCTACTCCAGCGGTAGGTGGGGCAACTGCCCCACCCTGCCGCATGGGGAGCTCCGCCTATGGCTCCGGCGATGGCCGTGGCAGCCGTGGCCGCCTCGTGCGGTCCTCCGCTCTCATGCTCCCATGATTCGAACTTCGAAAGACTTTCAGGGAACTTAGCTTTCGCTCTCTTTAATCATGCGCGAATAGCGCGATAGTGGGCTGCTCAGCTGGGCTGGCTGGGCCAAATTGCCCCGAATCAGTAACAAATTAACACAAACATAAAGCCGACGATATGGGTCGGAGATGCATGTGATTCTTGAGGTGTCAGATCCCATCATCATCGACGATGTAAGACAGGATAATATGATGTTTGTTGTGCCGTTCAAGAACTACAACGTTTCTTCGTTGCTAAGGGTGTCGGCTTCAAGCTGCAAGCTCGGCGAGTTCCTCTGCCTCTTTATGCAGCGGTGGTCCGTCATGTGGCTCATCCGATTGCCGATGAGAGCCGGGAGATCCTTACAAGGACTTGAATGTATTTTTTGCTTTTCTCAAGGGTGTCTTTGTAAGGAAGCCAATGTACTCTATCATATGTGAAACGAGAATACCCCGCGGCGTGGCTGCGGGAATTTTAGATAATTTAAAAAGAAATTAGACTATTTATATTTATAGTTATATGAATAAAATTATCTTAAATTAATTTTGGTGAATGGTTTGACATACCGATGTGGACAGTTAAATGTATGTTAGTGGATGGAGAGATAACTATCATAATTACATGTGCTAGTTGGCTATAATTACAAATTCTAGTGAATTATTGATGTGGATAGTTTGTCATGTTGAGAGAAATCTCTAGTGGGGTTTAGCCTTCTAAGAGTATAGGATAAAACCCGGTTCCTCTCTAAAAAAAAGAACACAAAGCCGACGATATGAACAAAGCAAGCAGCATGATTCCATGATGTTGTTGCAATTTCTGGCGAATACGTTTACAAACTAATCGTGCTATGTGCCACGGCCTACGGACATTTCTAACTATCACTCTCAGGCTCTCAGCAAGGAAAGACACAACAGAGTTCTGCGCTCTACAGCAGCGCTGCCGGAGATCCTCACTGGAGTTTCTCCATGCCGTAGGTATCTTCAGCTCCACTGGCTACCTTTCTTCTCCTCTCTGCTATCATCTCGGTGTATGCCTGAGAGAAGCCACCACAGGGTCAGTTCTATTCTACTGTATCATTCTTTGAACTACGTTTGTAACCCAACACTATAGAAGCAATGTTTAGGGTTAGCCCAAAGGTATTTGACACAGAAGAAATGCTTAATTGACTGATATGCTGCAGCTAGAGATTGGAACTGGTAGCACAGACAATGCTCCTGCCTCCTGACTAATAGCCATCTGGATATCTGGAACTAGATGAAGTTTTGGAGCCAGTAAGCAACTCAGCATTCTGAGCTTTGGCATGGATGATGAGTAGTTGCTACCCTATAGTTTGCATATGTCAAACCAGTTGCAAAGATAAATCTGCATTGATATAAGTGTACCATTTGCAGTTTGAAAGCACCGTATGCTAAAGATGATACAAAACTATGTCAAAGCACATGTGCTATCTTCCTTGATTAACACTCAGAAAAAAAAATCATGATTATTGAAAGAACTAAACTGAAGCCTGGATCACACATTACAAGAACAACTTCTAATCAATCATCTCAGAAACGAAATCATAAAACAGAAATTAAATTGTTAGAAAAAAAATGATGTGCAAACCTTAGGGTAGGAGTAGAGAAATATGTACCACCATGCACATATTACAAAAGAAGCTCCAGCAGTAATTACAACAGATTGGATAAGCACCCAACTACAGGCGACCGCCACAGTTCCCGTAAGCAATATTGTCCAAGGCTGACACCTGAAAAGGGGGGAAATATAAGACTTGAGCACTATGGAAGAAAGGATATCTTCACATAAAGTAAAACTCTTGATGTTGAAAAAGGCAACGTGAGAAGGGGTTTGGAAAAATCTAATAACTCCTTTCTAGACTATAGATATGGCACTATTCGCATAGCTCCATTACCTCATGATGAATTTTGGAAGCTGAATGTTGTTATTGTGTACAAGAACCACAGGCAATAAAAAAATACCATCAATTACATCATGGCTTGTTTACACTTTACAGGCAAACAAAGAAAAAAATTGGAAGGGCTAAGCATGGAGCAGACTCTGCAACAAAATTTGATGGGCTGTTCATTAAAAAAAAATAGAAGTTCATGTCTATCGTATTTAGTACGCACGCCATTCAAAAATTGTCGTCAGGGCCAATATTGACAATAATATTAAAGTAATTTCGAATTTTCTTTTAAAAAACGAACAAGCAAGAGAAATAATTTCGAATCTACATCTGACAATAAACAAAGCTACGATAACAAATTTGGGGCATCTCTACGATGTGTTGGCAAATAAACCATGCTTAAATGTCTACATACTACATCATAATCTTCGCCAATTTTGATCAATGCAATGTCCAGCAAGAAACAACTACAGAGGAGCAAAGGAACGGACCAGGCAGGCTTGGTGTCCCAGACAGAGTCGTACTCGAGGGACAGGTAGTTGAGGTACCCATCCATGTCGTCCACCACCCCATCCTCATCAAAGAACGCCGCCGCGCCGCTCTTGCCACTCTCCCCCTTGCCCCCGCCGCCGCCACCTACCCGCGCCACTCCGGCGCGCCTCTGGCTCCTGCCGCAGAGCTGCAGCCTTGTGGCGGCAGCGGTGGCAGCACAGGAGAAGAAAGGGGAAGGCGCGGCCGCGGCCGCGGTCGCGCGGGCGCCGCATGGGCAGGGCGGCGGCGTGGATGGGTAGAGCAGGCAGAGCGCGCCCATTTCTTGGCTTGTGTTCGCAGTACGGCTTCGGCCTCCTCTTCCTTCCGTCCGGCGGCTGCCGATGCTGCGGTTATGGCCAGTGTTTGCTCTGATTTCCTGGCAATTTTTTTGTGCCGTATATCATCTTGCAATTAAAAGATTTTGGCAATTCTCAGAGGTTCCGGCCCAATAGAAAGTAATAAAGCCTTGATATTGGAGACGTCCTGTTCTTGCAGCCCAGATCCTCGTGATTGTGTTATTGCCAACGGGACGCAGTATCAGCAAAATGAGCACTAGTTTCCTAAAAAAGCAAAAAAGCAAAATGAGCACTAGCGCGGTTTGTAATAAGTCCTTTTTATCTATTTGTTCCTAATTAAAATCAATTTTTAGAGTTATCTTAAATAGAACTTTTATAAGTTTAACCAAATTTATAGAAAATAATATCAATATTTATATAACACGAAAGTAGTATTATTAGACACATATCATGAAATGTTTTCATAGTCTACATTTGGTGTCATATGTTGATATTCTTTCCTTTAAAGTTGATCAAATTGACTTAAGAGAGCTATAAAAATTAATTTATTTATAGACAGAGAGAGTATTTGAACTATCATAGTGATATGGTTTTCTTTCTCGGATCTTAAATTCAGAAAACTTACGCTTGGTAATCTTGGTAAGTTTTCTGAAATACTACTTGTAATCTTGGTAATCTTAAATTCAGAAAACTTACGTAATCTTGGTAAATTAAGATTTCTAAATTTAAATTACCTCTCTACCAAGATTACAAGTATTATTCAAGGTGGTTTCATCTTTTTTAGTTTAAAAATATCATAAATACATGATAAAAAATTTAAACCACGAAAATGTATATAGAGCTCTTAAAATTCTAAGAAAGAATCTAGAGATAGATGAGACAAACTTGTTCATGCACCACCAGACCTAACCCGCTCGAAAGTGCAAAAAAATGAGATATAACCTGACCCAACCCACCAGTGCGTAATCATTTTTTTAGTCTAACACGATGTTTGATCAGGTCTAGACTGAGATACGAAAAACCAGAAAAATGTTTAAAACTCAAGAAAGGATATGTAAAAGGTTCTAAAAAATAGAGTTAGCTCAATAAAAGGTTCTAAAACCTTGTGAAAGTATAGAAAAAATGGGGGGGGGGAATCCAAATATTGTAATCAATCTGTAAACACATTTTGAAAGCTTTTCATAGCAAAAACATAAGATTCGAATGCATTCAACATTAAATGTATGTTGCATTCTTGCTAGTTGCATCTATTTTTTATTATGAAAAGTCTTTAACATGCATTTAGGCATAAATAAAAAATGTTTTGGATTTTTTTTCTATTTTTTGGATTTTTTTCATCGTCAAGACCTAAATCTACTTTGGAAGCTTAATATTTAATATTTTATATGGGTTTTTGGTCCTAATTTATGTCTAAATTGTTTTCTCATATTTTTTTAGAAACCTAGAGATATTTTATGTGGTTTAAAAACCTTACATACATTTGTTCTTTTTTACTGAAAAAAAAGATAAAACCATCTTGAAAATCACTTCTAATCCTGGCCAAGAGGTGATTTAAATGATTTTAAGAATTGAGGTTCAAAATTTTTTAGAGTTCAATGAGTAAAATCGACCATAGCTATAGTTCACGAAGGTAAAATGGAATTCTCCTAGTGATTTTATCATATCAAAGCTCAAGACTCATGAGTCCATGAGTCATCAAGGAGATAAAAAAGGCTCATGACTCAAGAGTGAGCAAAGTAAGATCGAGACTGCCCATCAAGCTGAAAACTTTTGCAGGAAATTTTTTTAAAATGACAAAGTTAGAATGAGACATACTCGTGTTTATATCAATAAAGAAAAATGCTAAAGTCGTAAGCCAAAAAACGGAAAGACGAAGCACGAAATAAAAGACTTTGAAGCTAGGGCAAATAAGTTAGTGCCCTAGGACCCTGGTAACAAGCACGTTACACACCGTTGAAAAATAATTACTCAAAAATAAGAGCACGCACCTATACCACCATCTCAAGAAACCGTTCATATTAAACCAGTAAATTATAACTGTCTAAAGTAAAAACGAACTGAATTCTGCACTCAGCTCACCTGGCAATCCTTATCGACTTATCCTCGCACGCGTGTCATTCTTGTGTCGAAAAGGACCGTCGCAGCATGGCAGACACATGCTGGGACCTGGACATGCTCACATGCATGTGCCCACCAAACTGCAGACCGTCTTCAGAACGCACACTACACTCCAGACATCCAGGACGCGACGCTCACCCCACTGGTAGCCAGACTGATTGTACTAGTACACGGCAGAGGCTCCGAGCAGAACGCTATCCGGATGCAATCGGGCGGACAAGAACCGTGACTCATCCCCACGTACGGGCCACTGCCCTCTCCGGCTAGGCACGCCGTCAGACTCGATAAGGCCAGCTCGTCGTATCCCTCGACTGAGCCTGACGACGATGCGCATGCGCCCTCGCCGTCGTCCCCGACGATGATAACTTGGTGGCGACGGCGACGTGATCGATCGGCAAGCCGAGCGAGCAAGATGAGACCGACCGTGTGGATAGCGACGACAGCGCGACGTGACGAGGACCGGCGATCGATCAATGATCGCCGATGACGCGGCGTGCGGCCACGCAGAATAAGGCCCTGTTCGTTTAGAGAAATCTGGAGAAATCTGTGAGAACGTGAACAATAACTTTTCATTCGTGAACAGTGAATTTCTGGCTGGTTTTTGCCCCAGCGCCTAAACTAACATGCTGCCGATCGATGCCAGCCAGGAGATCGTGTAGTTTCTAGAACGCACGCAAAGCCCAACGTCCCATTCCCATGATGATGATTCCATTTCCATCCGTCCGCGCGTCATGGGCCAACGCCCGCGCGTGTCACGCTCCACTGACCATGCCACCGTGCAATTGAGTCGCCAACATCCAACAGCGAAGACGATCCATAGGCTAATAAGCACGCACTGATCGTGTTTCACACGGAATCAGTGACGATTGATTGCTAAACTGCGGCTCGATCGGATTGGGACATGTGGAGAAGAGAACACGCGATAGTCACATAAGTACGATTTGTTATTCTTATCATAATACATATGGATGACTCGTCATGCACCTGGAATTGCTGCTTTACATGCACTGACAACCGGTGCTGATCAGAAATGTGTATGTACATGCCTGTCAGCTAGGTACAGATAGATAGATATTCACACACGCACGCCGGACCTCATCGGCATCTTGTCGATGCTGTGGTCCGAGCGTTCACTCTCGCCGCCGGCGACGACGCCCCAGATCTCCGGGATGGCCCGCCGGAGCGCGCCGATGTTCTCCAGGGCGTAGTCTGCTTCCTTGCTCCTCACCCTCTTGCCAACCTGAATGAAAAAAAAAAGATTAACGAATGGGTTAATGCTGGTTTTCAGAGAGGCATCGCATCAATGGATAAGACTGTGCAGCATGCTGGTGTTCAGAGAAGAAACTTGTGTTAGACACAAGAGTTAATTGTGTAGTACTGCTGTGTCGATGCATCGACATGCATGATCGCCCCAAAGGCAGACAGGCAATGTGCGTGCTGACGTGACGGCGCAACCACGCACTATCGATATGTTGCCAGGACTACGGAAACAAATGAAAACGTATGCGTCAGCTAGCAGTGCGCTCATTTTTGTTTCCTTGTCCCGTTCCCAAAACGCCAAAACCAGCGGAGATGATATTTCTCCTTGCTCTCCCCTGATTTGTGGCGAAGAGAGACCCTTGAATCGACAGGCACCGTCCAAATTCAAGAATTCTACCGATATAAAATTCAACATGGACAAATGACATGAGGAGAGGAAAGCGAACTTTTCTTTCGTTTTCGCCCGCTCAAGAGAAGAAAAAAGAATAAGAGAAGATAGGGTATGTTTGTCTGCGTTGGATGCATGATCTTATAATATCAGAGACAGAGGCATCCCCTTGCACCTACCTACTCGTTGCCAATTGCCACGCCAGCCAGAGACACTAGAGCGCCAATCATCTTGACTGATGGCCACTAATAAGCGCGCATGCATGAGCAAAAGCAATCCTGATTACCGATGACAGGGCGAGCAAGCCAAAGCCAATGGCGAAGGGCAGCTCGATCGCGCCAAGCAGATCTCCGCGGCATCGGTATCGATGGCTCGGCGCCGAGCGGGTGAATATGCTTCGCTACGACACCGACAAGGCGCCGGGCACTGGCGCCATCGCCGTCACCATCGGGTGGTGGTGGTGGGTAGCAACTGGTACTCGGTACTCCCCGTAACTAACACACGCTGTGACTGTGAGCGCACCGGCCACCTGATCGACCAACTACTTGCGTACTGCCTGCGCACCCCGTCTGATCTGACCTGGTGCCGCGGAAGGCATTCAGCGTCGTTTAGCCCGCTGGGTGCCTCCTGGGTCCGGTGGTGCAGGATGCGTCACGGCAGTGTAGTGAGCACAATCGTAGGTACGTGTTTATTTGGACCGACGTGGTCAAGACTCAAACAGCCTGTGAGAATGGCTAGGTTGGCTGGTTGGTTACGTTACGTACCAGGGCGGTGCGGAGGCCGAGCGCTTTCCCCGCGGCGATGTTCCTCTCGCTGTCGTCCAGGAAGAGCTGACACACAGAGCAACCACCAAAAAGATTTTAGTGATCATTTCGTTGGTATAATAAATAATGGTACATACGACGGATATATATGATAAGCTTAAATTGCGGATAAGTGATAAGCGGATTGCTGGTTATTACCGTCCGGCGTGGGTTGGAGCCGGCGACGCGCAGCCCCGCAACGATGGCGTCCACCGCCGGTTTGAGGACCACGACCGGGTTGTCGCCGCGCTCCTCCCTGGCCTCGCTGAAGAGGTGCGGGTTCATGGTCTCGAAGCACACGACGGCGTCGAAGATGGCCTCGTCCACGCCCAGCCGCTCCAGCGCCCGCTTCATGTGCGCGCGGTCCGAGTTGGTGAAGAGCTGCGTACGCCCATCATACATGACTCACATGGTT